GGAGTCCCCAACTATTTACAAACGCTTTCTTACCACTGGAGATCCCTCGATGGGGGAAGTCCTTCTTCTGTGTATATGTTGATGAATTAAACACTGTTGGCCAATAGGGAAGCAAGATAGGTGGGACTAGGAAAAAGGGAGGATTCTGGGAAATGTAGTCAAGAGTAGGGTGAGCATTTTGCTTACATGTATGCATGTATACCACTTGTATGCATGCCTGGTACTCTTAGAGGTCAGAAAAAGCTATCTGGTTCCCTGGAGTTAAGGATGTTTGTGAACCACCATGTCAGTGCTTGGACTAAACATGCGTGATATAGAATGTCCTTTTGTATGCTGTGACTATGTGTTTCTCTTATTGGTTGATGAATAAAGCTGTTTCAGCCAACGGCCAGGCAGAATATATGTAGGTGGGAATTCCAAACAAATATAGAGGGAAAAGGAAGGCAGGGTCAGAGAGACGCCATGTAGCTGCCAGGGAAGCAAGATGCAAGGGCATCACCAGTAAGCTGCAGCCATGTGGTGATGCTCAGATTACTAGAGATGGGTTAGCATTTTAAGAGAGAGCTAGCCAGCTAAGAAGCCTAAGCCATTGGCCACACAACTGTAACTGATACTAAGCCTCAGAATGGTTATTTCATAAGCAACTGTGGGGATCAGGTGGGCAGAGAAAAATCTCCCGTCTACACATGGGTGTGCAAGAGCAACACATGCTCTTAACCACTGAGTCATCTCTTCAAACCCTGGACACAGATTTAAAGTGATAGTCAGAAAGATGAGCTGGCCCTGACAGGGGAGGTGGCCGAATGTGGGCAGTAAAATGGGGGGGGGCTGGTATCACAGAAATTAGTGGTAGGTATGGCTCTCTAAGACTGAATCAATACGGCAAATGCTTCCAGAAGGCCAAGTAAGTAGAACACTGATCATGACCACCAAATCTTGTTTTAGGGCCCTCGGAAAGAGCAGTTTTGATCCAGCAATGCCAACGGGGTTAAGATAGAAAGGATTCAGCTGTGAGGGAGAGATAATGAATGCAGACCACAAAGGAAGGCAGCCAAAGAGTTTTGGCTATCCTTGGAGGTCATGTAGGGTTAAAGGGGAGGAGTTTCATTTTTAAATCCTTAGACAAGCTAAGCCTCCTCCTAAATGAAGCATTAATAAGGTGCCATGTGAAGTGGTGTTACATATTTAACTAAACAACGACCTTTTCCATGTGGGAGAAAGAAGCATGGGTTTGAATAAGGATGGCATGAATCTAGAAGGCAAGAGAGAGGAAAGACAAAGGAGACAGAATGATTTTAATGCTTCACTTGCTGTAGAAGAGGCGGGTGGGATCACAGATGGGGGGTGTGGTTTTAGAGAAGAGAAAAAGCCCCTTTTTTTGCTCTCCTAGGAAGGAGGATGTGATGCAATATGGAAGGCATGTGTTTCGGGAGTTAACTAGTGAAGATATATGGACTGGTGGTACCCCCTTCCTTCCTTCCTTCCTTCCCTCCCTCCCTCTCTTTCTTCCTTTCTGTAGCCATAGAGTTCTTTTCCTGGGTTTGTGTAGGCTAAAGGTTAGGGCTTCCAGGGGAGTAGAAAAGGTTTCCATGGTTATACTGAGGACTGGAAGAGCAAACCTATTAGATCGCCATCCGTGTTGGGGATCAGCTTGGGATGAATGACCAGGACTTGATGGCAGCCCCAGTCTGTTGAACAGTAAAGCCATTCCTGGCAGTTTAGCAGGCTCTTAGAGGGAGCTGTTTCTAAAATCACCATCTCCTCATGTAGACCCGCAAGGTAAAGAAGCAGGGTAAAGGCTGGCACCCTGACCTTGTGTCTATCTCCTTTGTCTTAGACGCCCGTGCCACACCGCTTAGGCCTGTCCATCACCTAGAGAATGTGTGCCTGCTTAATCTATGTCATCTCTGGAAGCATGGAGCTTAGCCATTGTCCTAAACGTGAAGGCACCCTGGACTGAGGGAACAGCAGAGCCTGGAGGACAGACCACCTCTGAGAAGAGGGCAGTTGTCTCCGAAGGCAAGCTTTACCTTGAAGCATGAATAATTATTTTCCTGGAGTGATCTTGGCCCAGCAAGTAAAAAGGACTTTCTTGGATCACTTTCAGACCTAGAACTGAGACAGCGATTATCAGACCAACTCTACCAGGACTGCTTAATTATGTATACCTCTTGTTCCCTGTCCCAATTCTTCCTCTATTTAAACCCAAAACTCATGTCAGTCCCCTGAAGGCAGACTCGGGAGGTCACTGAACCCCTTTATCTGTTCTTCCCAATGGGCTGATTAAATCTCCACTTTTCGCCATCACTTGCCCCTTTAATTGTTGTATCAGCGTGCGTGACCAAGCCTAACCTGTTAGAGCCACTGGAGACGAGGCTTTTCCCCTAAAACTGGGGACAGCAGGACTTGGCACCTGTTCACTGGCCAGGAGCCGGCAGTCAGTTCTAGTCATCAGGCTAGGGGATGTTCAGCTTGCTACGACAGAAGGACAATGGGCACGTAAAAGTGACAAGAGGCTAATCCAGACGTTCTCCATGGCTGAGGTGTTTGGGATCAGGTGAGGCTGGTTTGGGGTGTCACCACGATGGGGAACACTATTTGGGTCAGAGGTGCAAAGTAGCCTGCAGTGTTTAGAAGGGAACCTCAATATAAATAATGGTCTTCTCGGCATTGCCAGTCACAGCCACTGACAGAGAAAACCATGAGCTCTAATTAGTTCAAATAGAGGGCAGAAAATGAACAAGTGGGAAGGCAAGCAGGTCAAAGGACAGGAAGATCCAAGCCAAAGGGCAGAGGCTGTAGGTGTGCAAGACAGCTGAGCTAAATGTGATCAGGATAGACAGTGGGTATCTAAGTCCTTGATCTCAGAGATGAGCTGTTCTCCCATGGAGGGAGACTCCCCTGCTTAGTGCTCTGAGAACAAAGCCAATACGGTTCTCCATGTGCAGGTACTCTGCCTGGAGCAGACGACACAGGAGGGCACATCTGGAGTGTGTGTTGGTGGGTGAAGGAGGGCACATCTGGAGTGTGTGTTGGTGGGTGAAGGACTGACACACTTGAGAAGGGAGAGGGAGGGCAGGAGGGTGGGACAGGAGTACTAGGATGAAAGAGAGTCCCTGAGCAAAGAGTACCCACCGGTAGAGTCCCATTGAGGGCAGGATGGCCAAGCTCTGGGTGTTGGTGTCAGGCAGGGGTGTCAGAGCAAGGCACCTGCAGGGCTGCCACACAAGGGTGTCTAGACAGACAAAAGAAGTTCAAGCTCCAAGACTGTCGCACCTGCTGTGCGGCCTGCATCCGAGAATGTAGCGAGGTGGTCGGGATAGATGACACAGAGAGCGGTCGGTTGCTTTAAGAAAACTTTATGCTTCCCAAGTCAGCTTAGGAGGAGACCCCAGTCCGCTTAGGAGAGAGAAGTCTCAGGAGAAGTCTCAGGAGAAGTTTCTCTAAGAAAAAGGAGCTTCCCTTTTTCAGGACTTCTGCCATTCATCTACATACCATTCTTTCCTCCTGGCTGGTGGTTTAATCTCTGGCCCCAGAATCGGGGAGACACCACAGGGAAACAGGAAGAGGCACCTAGCCGTAGGGGATGTGAAAGGCATGGTATTTCAGTGAGCAAGCCCTTATCTGAGCCCTATCAAGAGCTTTAAAGCACTGAATTGTTTTCAGTAAACATTAACAGATGCCTGCTCCCAGGCCGAAGGGGAAGTGGGTTTCTGCTCAAGGTCTGGTGTCCCCACACAAGACAGAATGCTGCTGGGCATTCAGGTCCGTTAACCATCGCCTCGGTTTCCCCATGTTCCAAAGATATCAGGAAACAGAAATTGTTCTGAAAAACATAGATTCATATCCAGCTCAACCAAAGAAGAAAGTTCAGTTCCCACCCCCAGGCCCCTTGTTCCTGGTTCCTGTGGTCATCTTGAAGTTTACAGAAAAACTAGCCCTAGAGTGTGCATAGGTTTAGCTGTGAGATGGCTAATATTCTACCTTTTGGTGTTGTCAAAGACATCATCTACTAAATTCATGTTCAAGTGTCAAAAAAATTCACAAAATAAAAACTCATAATGTTTTAAGTTTATGTTTGGTGTTAGGCCCTATTCACAACTCTACTGGGTCACACGAGGCAGGTTGTACACACATGAGCTTTATCAGGTCTTTCCGTGGGGGAAAGTGACCTTGGGTCCCAAGTTTGCCTCAGTTCTCTGTTAGTTTTGTTATTCAAGTCTGGGATAAGAGGAAGAGGGCCTTTAATATCCTCCATTTTGAAACAGGAAAGAACTTTTTTTTTTTAATGACAGTGAGGTCCTTATCCATTCTGGATCCGGCAGAGTTCTTTGTTCATGGGTTTATTCTGTGAAGGATTTAGAATTGGGGTTTGTGAATCTTTGAGCCTCAGCTTCAATCATGAGTCCTGCATGCTGGCAAACACACTAAGCTACCTCCCAGCTAAACTATAGACATCCCGGTGTTCCCTCACAATTTCCTACAAATTATCAAGTGACCACAGGCATGGCAGTCATGAAACTTGACTTCCATCTTCTGGCTTGGCTGAACTGTAAGTAGATCCATGTTTCTTTGTCAATTTCTGCTCCCTAGTTTCTCTGGGACAGTGGGCTCATTGACTGCCCAGTGGTGTTCCCTCTTAGATCTTACGTTACTCCCATGCTAGACCAGACACCCCTAGTGAACAAGTGAATACATGCGAACAGACATGAGCATGTGGGTGTTAAAGGGCTGGCACAGCATCTCTTCAGGGTCTCTCTTCCCAGCAGGGCTGCAGCCCAGAATCACGGTGATGAGAAGCTCTGCTATAGATCTTCTGTTGTTTCTAATATCGGATCCTTGCCATATGGTATTAATGCCTTGTGTTTGCCACTCTAGTTGGTGGTATAAGCCTGGGAGAAAAGGGCCTAAGAAAGAGGCGAACTGAAGTCCCATCCAATAACCAACTTTATCAGAGCATCAGATAATTTATACTCTGAGGGTTATGACAGTCACCTGGATAAAGTACGCAATCACAAAGACACGCCACACATGGCAAAAGCACGTTTTCCCGTAGAGGCATGTGTCTAAATAGCAGGGCCAGCTGTAATGAATAACCTGAAGTAAACTCACTCCTATCCGCTACCCCTGGGAGGGCATGACCGCAAGCTCTGAGAGCAACAATGTTTCAGAGGAACAGAGGTTACAAGAGTCCTGTCTTGCTTACTCGGAGTTTTCTCACAAAGTTTCAGGAGTCTCCTCACACAGCTTCGTGCATGGACTGTGTTCCGACACCTTGTCCACTCAACCTGCGGTGCAGAAGTTTGTCAGTGAACTGATGTGTAATATCCAGAAGCTATAAACAGCGGGACCCCGGGGCCGAAGCCTACCTGAGGGCCAGAGTCTAGCTGCAGCAACTCAGTGAGGAAGGTAGGCAAACCTGTTAAATGGCTCCCGTCCTGTGGGTCTCGGCGAGATTAAAAGGCATTTCAGGAGGAAGGCTCCTCAGGACCGGTCTGTAAGTGGTACTTGGTATGTGTGAACTACTTTTAGTGTAGTGTTTCTTCCCCCTCCCATTGTTGTCAAGGTGAACAGAGCTGTGTTCCAATATTTAGATTGTTCACTTTCTATATTGAATTCAGTGACCCCCAAATGTGATGATCCCTTACTTTTTTTTTTTGCTTTATAGTCTTTCTTATTTTTATTACTTCATTATTTTATTTAGAGTGTGGGGGGTGCAAGCACGAATTCAGGTCAAAGGACAACCATGTGGGCCCCAGGATTGAATTAGGTCATGAGGTTTGGTGACAGGCAACCCCCGAGTTACCTCGTAGGGCCCATCTTGCTTTGGGAATCTAGGAGCATGTCGAGCATCCACTTATTCCCCTCCTACAAGCAGACAAAGGTGAAGTGAGTCCATGGCTGCCCCACAGACACCGACTGAGCCTCAGCTATGGATTCCTGGGTGGGAGCAAGAAAGGGGGTGTACTCGAACAGGAGTAGGCTGGGTCTCACCAAGCTACATAAATATCACCCTGGACGCATGTCTTCTCTGCCAGGAAGCAGAAGCAGCCTGCTTTCCTCCCGGAACAAAGCCTGTGCATGTGTGAATGTCTCTAGAGAGAAATGTGTTTGTACATTAGACTGGTAATTAAAGGCTCCCAATAAACCCGGTCTCATTACTCAGCTTAAAGAGCTGCCTACATGGTGTCTGGCGCGACGTCAAGTGTCTGCCTGTGCAACGCTGGGGTTGTGGCTGTGCGGCTGCTGGAGGAGGGCACAGTTGGTGTGTGGGGAGCTCTGCTTCTAGGACTCGTGTGTGGTGGGCTGAGGGGCAGGAACAAAGCCCTGCACCTTCCGGCTCTCATTATTCTCCTCTCCAAATATTCCAGTGGACTGCTAAGACGGAGCCACTGTCTGGTCTACTGTCTGGTTCACTGAACATTAACATTGGTACAATCAATTGTCAGTTTGACAGACTCCGCAATTCCCAGTCAGGTTACATACACTCTTTCAGGGAGAAAGAAAGCTGCTACCTATCACCCTTGTCAGGATGCAGAGTCCTTCTGAGCCAAGGTCAGATGCAGGAAAGATGATCACTCCAGTGGATGTGGTTTCTGTTTCCTTCTCTCTGAAAATCTTCCTTCCTTCCTCATTCCCTCCATCCCTCCCTCCATCCCTCCCTCCTTCCCTTCCTCCCTCTCTTACTCTGTTTCTTTTCTTTTCTTTTTCTTTTCTTTTCTTTTCTTTTGGGTGCCATGTACTCCAGTCCAGCCTTGAACTCCTTAATGTTGCTTCAGATGACCTTCAATGCCTGATTTTCCTGACTCCACCTCCTAAGTGCTGGGAATGCAGGAATGTGCCACCCCATCAGGCCAAATACTTCTTATTCATCACTTCCACTGGCTAAGAGAACACTTAGCTTTGTAAATTGTTTTCTGCTTTGCAAAGCATTTTCACTGTATCTATACTTTTTCTTTACGGTCTTATCCAGATTAGGGGTAATATTAAAAGTAGCTGTTACCACCATTATAGCAGCTGATTTTTATTTACAGCCTTCTTTGTACCAGGGACTATTTTAATTGAACTGAGGAGACGGTGGAAATAGAGAAGCCAGACAAGAGAACACGATCCTGAGCTTGCTCTGCACATATACATTACAGGGGTTTGCTGGGGAACTCAGGAGGCATATTTTTGTCCACTCCTTGTATCCAAATGCTGATTTTTGGAACAATGGCTCTTGCAGAGGACTAAGGTAAGGTCTCAGTATCTCTGTTAGGTAGCCTGCAACCGCCAGTAATTCTGGTTGCAAGAGATCCGATGCCCTCTTCTGGCCTCTATAGGCATTACACTCACATGCACAAAACCACATGCAATTTAGAAATAAAATATTTAAAAAGACAAACTGATTTCAATTCGTTCCACTTTTCTTTTCATGAGTTTCAAGGTGTTCTGTGGTTTCCATCCTCTGAATCATCCTGGAAAGGGCAAATCACTGTAGTAATATCTATCAACACCAACGGGACACAACTACTATGTATTATGCCTCTAAGAAGAGACTTTTAAAGAGTCGCTTATTTAACTATCTCAACAACCCAATAAAATGGGTATAGTGTTTTATTCCTATTCTTTATAGGAGACTGAGCAACAGGCTAAGTGACCTGCCTGTAGCTCAGAGCTGAAAAATCAACACCAACGCTCATGGTCTAAATCACCAAGTGGACCACAACATCGCTTTTGGCAAGCTTAAACCTGAACTGACTTCAGCCATCCTGAAACCAATTTGCTCTGTATGACAATATGAGAGACTCAAAGAGGTCAAGTGACTTCCTAAGGAAGTCAGGGTTTAGACTTCGGTGTCCATGTGACAACCTAAGGCCAGAGTTAAAAACAAAACAACAACCAAGCCACAGAATGTCATAAAAAACATATGTACAGAATTAAATATATTTAACATTATCACTAAGATATTACATATACTCATTAAATATATAATATATAATTTATATATATACATGTATATATATAAAATTTTCCTCTGTTTTCTTTTTTTTGAGTCAGAGTCTCACTATTTAGCCCAGGATGACTTCAAACTCAGATCCTCCTGCCTCAGTCTCTAGGATGCTGGGATTACAGGCGTGTGCTACCACACCGACCTGCAACTGTTGTTTAATTGCACTTTTTGCAGTTAGGTAGTCAATAATCCAATTTTGTTAATTTTTTTCTCCACAGAAATGTTTATTTTTCTGTGTAAGTCAGATACTCAATTGTTCAGCCTTCTTACCTGTTGGCCAGCTGTTTTTGGCCTTTGAGACTTCACCTCCAGGGGTAGAGCCCACTTTTCCAAGCTCTGCCTGTACTTTGACTTCCCTCCCTGTACAATGTATTAGAATTATTTTATAATTAAAGGCGCTCTGAGGGAGAGGATTGGGTTTGGGACATGGGTGGCCTGAGATCTCCTATCTATAGCTTATTCTGGACAACAGAATGCAATGCAATACTATACAGAACAATGAGGCAAATGTCCTAATGGTACCAGTAATGCAATATTTCTGACACTGAGGTAATGTTGTTCAAGCTGAGGTCTTCTACAAACTCCCAAGGGACTTTAGGTTATGAAAGTAGATTTATGGAATTACCCCTGGAGATTATCATCTACCATCTATCTGTTTTGAGAGAGGGTTTCAAGTATCCCAGGCTAGCCTCCAGTTCTGTGTAGTCAAGGATGACCTTGAACTTCAGGTTCTCCTCCAGCACACTCCTATGGGTGTGCATTGACACATGTGGATTTTAATGTGGCTGTGGGGGTGGACCTCATGCTTAGAGACACTCTACCAACCAGCTACACCCCAAGCCCCCATCACCCACCATTTTGTGGGCATGGCTGAAGTTTTATTTATTTCTAACTTAATTAGATGAAACACTTTCTAAATATTCATGGCAGTGACAAAGGGCTTTCTCTTTTAGAGGAAGATGTCTTCTACTCTACGTGCACATTGGAACAACCAATCACATCCACCGAGGTTGCTTGCGAAGTGTTCAGGAAGCTAGGGCAAGTGCACATACGTGTGCCACACACTACAAAGGCCCAGCGTGTGCAGATGATCACCTATAAAATGATTGCTGAAGAACAATGGCATGGAGCTTTATATGTCACAATTATTTCAATGATTCTGTGACAATGATCTTGTAATCATATGTGCCAGAAGAGAGCTCATTTCTCTCTCTCTCTCTCTCTCTCTCTCTCTCTCTCTCTCTCTCTCTCTCTCTCTCTCTCTCTCTCTCTCTCTCTCACACACACACACACACACACAGCCAATGTATATACACACATACACTCACAAACAACACACTCATAAACTCAAACACAGGTGCACATACACTCACAAACTCTCTGTCACATATGCACACAGACACAGAACCCATTTCTTACACACACATACACTCACAAGCTCTCTCTCTCTCTCTCACACACACACACCAAACACACATACACACACGCCCTTATAGACACAGAAGTTACCAAATCTCCAGAAAGTGTCAGCACATTGTACTACATATAACTTTATTCATTCTAAAACCCATAGTTCTCCACCCGGACTACACACCATGTCACCTCCTTAACTCCCACACTCTATGCTTTTAAAGCTCTGGTGCCCAGTCCCTCAGAACTGAGAAGTAATCGGACTCTCTGAGTTGGAGACAGGTTCTCTCTCTAAGTGTCCTAGAGATTCTATTCAGTTAGCATTAACACCCAGAGAAGATATTAACCACCAACTGAGGGCAATTGAGCCAGGCTTGTGCAAATCCTTTTGTTGGTAAGATTCCATGACAATGAAGGTGATAAGAAGTCCCAACCAAGTGTTACCTTCCCCACCTCCGGAGAGTCCCAAAGGAGCCACCATACCTCTCTACTGACTTACAATCCACCCAGAAGTGCTGAGCCTCACTGCTGAAGTAGGGGGGAGAATACTGAGTTGATTATTTTATAATTAAAGAAAGCTCTGGGGGAGAGATTTTGCCCAGGAGCCCAGCATTGCAAACTGGGTCACCATGAGCTGAAGTCCCCATCCATCCTCACCACCAGGAAATACCAGGCAAGTTCAGTGTTCTTTCTTTACTTCCCAGTTGGCTTTTCCAATGGTTTGTTTGCATCCAGAGAGGCTCCATAACACATCTGGTTTACATCTGTCCATGTTTCCCGCTGCCATGCTGGTGTGAGAGAAAAGCATACATTATCAGGAAAACGTTTGCACATCTGTGCCTCTAGGTCCCGGGAGATGACCTGGGAAGCATCCCAAATCCCAGGTGCCCTGGTGCAGGTCAAGCTGAATTATATCTAAATCTCTATTTTCTTTCCAAGAGCTCCTTGTGGTGATTTTAAGATACACCAGGCTCCTGCTTCCTGGTATTGGTTCTGAAAGCCAGGT